TTCAACATGAAGCTGAAGGTACCTGGGTAGCAAATGAACAGTGTACACGCCATGCATGCGTACAGGACCCATTACCCATGTGCCCATGGCCATGTGGACACCATTTGTGTACATGTGAATATGAGCAGGCCTGTTTTTATGAGAGGAACAGAAGGAGCCCACAGATGAGTAACAGCACACACTGCTGCCTCTCTGAATATTTTTAAATGCTGCTAAATATAGCCTACAAGCTCCAAACAAGATACTTTCTCCAGGCAGGTCCATGTGCTACACCGAGGGGGAGGGATATAGAGTCAGAGATAAAATTCTCTAGAACCAGGAGGCCCCAAAGAAGTATGCAGGCTGAGATTATGGTCACAGTGAAGATGAGACACCAGCTTGTGACTTAGCTGAAAATCCATTTCCCAGAAAAGTTTAACTGTCTCTTACCCACCCTCTGCCCTGCAAAAAGCCACTGAGATCCTTGACTTATGTCTGTGGGCTATTTGGTTCAAATTTTCTCTCCACCAGCTTGTAGCTTATAAAATGTTAATGCTAGATGTGGGAGACCCTGGTTAATGGGGGTAAGTATGGTGTTTGGAGTGGGAGGCTTCTAAACCAGGGGCATTTCTCCCTGGCGATGGCAAAAGATGGTTTTTCTCCATTCTGTGGGTGCATTGTCTTTGCGGGCGGCCGCCAATATAGTGGGAAAGGCACTAGATCTAGTATTGAAGATTGTAACAGTCCTAGTGCTGGCTGTGTCCTTTCTGTGTGGCTTTGTCATTTTACCTCCAGGTCACATTTTTGGCATCTAAAATGAACCCTCGCTTTGCGGGATTCCAAGACTCTAAATGCAGCGCTCGAATCCTGGCTCCTTTGCTTACTATCTGTGTGACCTTGTGCAAGGGCCTCAGTTTCTTCATCAGTAAAATGAGAGAGCTGGACTAAATGATCTCTGAGATCCCCTGTAGCCCTAAACCCTGTACCTGTGGCCCCTGCCTGGAAAACTAGAGAGGGGTGGGGTCCTGGGCAGGCCGAGCGCCCCCCAACGGCCTCTCGAGCCGGCGGGCAGTCGCGCGCCACCCCACCCCACCCCCCAGCCCCGGGGCCCTCTCGCGCGCTCTCAACCGCGGCCCGCCCGACCCCGCCCCCGGCCCGCCCCTCCGTGACGTCAGCGGGCTCGAGCCTCCGGGCCGCTCGGGTTCGACAGTCGCTCGGTCGTTTGGCTGCGCGAGTTGCCGAGCAGGCGGCGGAGGAGGTTGTTGGGGGGCGGGTCTCGCGAGCCCACTGGGAGCTGGGGCGGCGGTGGGAGCGCTGACGGCGGTCGCGGTGCGGGCTCGGGAGCGATTACCGGCTGGGGGAGCGCGCCCGCGGCGCGAGCTTCCCGCTCGCCAGGGTCGCCGGGCCCTCGGCGCGGGGTGTCCCCTCCCGGCTCTCGCGCCGCCGGCTAACGTCTGTTGGGGGAGGGGAGCGGAGCGCTGCTGAGCACCCCTGCCGTCCGGCCCGCCCCCCAGCATGCGCACCTCGTACACCGTGACCCTGCCCGAGGAGCCACCCGCAGCCCCTTTCCCCGCCTTCGGGAAGGAGCTGCGGCCCCGTGCCCCGCTCCCCCGCTCCCTGCTGCTCTCCACCTTCGTGGGGCTACTGCTCAACAAAGCCAAGGTACGCCGGGACCCCTCCCGCCCTGGGCGGGGGCCGCTCCTTTCCCGTCGCCCCCTGCCCAGCTCTCTGCCCCCCCCGGAGGTCAGTTCCTCCTTTCCCAGGTGAGCCCAGAACAGGACACCCCTAGGGACTGTTCCCCCACCCCCACCCTGAGTCGTGGGGATCCGGAGGCTTCCTGACTGGAGTCGGGACAGGTGCGAGGGAAGGGGAACCGTAGTAGTGTGTTCTGGACGGCACTCCTAGGCCGGAATCCCAGCACAAAAGACGTTGTTTCCAAAGCGTGTCCCTGGGCTTTGGGGAAAGCCCTGTGACCCTGTGAAGGGCAGAGCAGCTGTGAGAGGGGGAGGGGAATCCCCCACCTTTCTGTGGGCCAAATTCAGCTTTATTGAATGAAATCATACGCCCCTAAAATTTATAAAGCACCTTAGAACAGTGCTGTAACTTGGAGACAAATTGACCTCTCCTTCCTTCCTCCCTTTAAGAGAGCAAAAAGGGGCAGGAGCTTGACAGCTATTATGTAACAGGCACTGCTGACTCGTCCTGGCAGAGCGTGGTTTGCCTCGTGCCAGAGCCACACCGGGTTTCTGGGCTTCAGCCAGGACCCATGGCTGACCCTGTCAGAACAGGTGAAATAGTCACAAAGGTGCTCTCCTAATGATCCTGGGTGTTAAGTAATAAGTCTCAACTGAACTTTCTTGTGACCTCTGATCCTTAAATATCTTTTTTATGTTCTGGTGTAATTCAGAGACAGTTTCTTTTAACTTGTCAGCCCCTCCCATGTCTGTCCTAACCTTCCCTATTCTTTCTCTGAAGGGTAAAGGCTGTTAGATATTAGGTATTAAAGAGGTGGGGGAGGAAACTGGCCACCTTCTATACATATTTATTGTCACTGAATCACACATTTTCTAATGACCAGTTTTAAGAATTGCCTGAAATTATCAGAATTCCTACAGTCTTAAGGAAAGGGGGCAAGAAGCTAGTTGAAGTCTCCCCAGCTCCTCAGTCTTAGCCTCTCCTTGTTGGTCCAGAGGTAGGATTGTTTTTGGTAAGAAAGGTCACTCCTGGGACATTTTGTTCCTCCCTAGAATGGAAAGTGCTGACTTTCCCTGGAGCTCCTAATTTCCTATTCAATGGCAGACTATTTGACTGAATGCAAAGCAGCATTACTCTCCTCTAGACTCTTGGTATCCAGCAGTTCCACTTCCTGCACATGGGTCTTAGTATTTGGCAAGAAGGATGAATTCAGGAAGTTTTATGCAAACAATTATCCCCCACAGACCTGGAGAGGGCAGTGGGGGGCACAAGCTGACAACTTGGATACAAGGGGCAAAATCATAATGGATAGTAATAGTAATGACATTGTTTGACCCTTCTTCTCCCAAGCTATCAGTTCCTAATTTAAAACATCTTGGGGGAACCTAGGTTGAAAGATGACCCTATATTCTTCCCCTAGGCTATTACCATAGATGTAATACCTTGACATTGGTAAACACTGTTATTGGCATGGTTGGAAGGATGCTCATGGCCCCAGTTTTTTCATGTGTGCAAGTTAAAGAACTTGGTACAGTAGGTTAAGGTGTGTAGGACTATGCCAAAGACAGGTATTAGATGGTGTCTGAGGGCAGAGTTTTCAGCATTCAGTTAGGAATCCTCAAAACAGAGAAATGTATTAGTCTCAATAATGTGTACTTTGTACTTCTCTAGGGCCACTTGCATATTAATTTAATCAGGTTTCTACCCCAAAGATCACATGAACAAATCTTTTCCATATCAGGATGCTGCTGCAAGCTAGACTGCCCTAACCCCTAAATATTACTTTCTCTTATTTAGTTAGGGCCATACAATATCAGCCCTGGCATCCTGTTTTCCTTCTCAGGTATGACAGCTTTCACGTGGTATCAACATACCTTTCCCTCTGACTACATATTTAAGGGCTGTTTTTCAGTGGCACAATCTGACTTCACATGCTGGGATTCAGCTTTATTACTGAGGGAGATCTTAAAACTTAGTTATGAGTTCAACAAAGCAACATTTAAAAGAAGGCCCCATGTCCACCCAGCTCTCCTTTCCCTAACCACTTCTCTTGGGGTAGTGAGCCTCTGACAACTATGTAGGCTGTCAGTGTATAGCAAGAGTAATTTTAGCCGAGCTATTTCAAGCTCCTGTTCTGATGAGGGTTGAGCTGGCCCCATACAAGCCCCAGCCAGTACAGCTCTGGAGCTGTCTGATCCTGGACCATCTCCCTAGAAGTAGAGTTGGCAGACATCTTGAAGATACTGTTTTAACCCCTTTTGACACTTTAGACTTTCTGCCTACTTGGATCAGTAAAGGTGCCTTAACAATGGGCATCCTGACTTCCTGCCTGAGCACCTGTTATACCTGCATCACTTCTCACCAGCCCCCATTATAGGGAAGTAAGAATAGCACCCTTCAGCCAGACTTTTATCTCTGCTTAGCCACCTGAGTGATATCAAATCACCCTAATTTGCCATCACTAGGATTCCCAGCCAGTAGCCTCTCAGGATGTCAGAACCCAAGCCATGGAGCCAGGGAAGGAAGATTCTCCTAGCTCTTAATTCATCAGCCCTTGGGAGCTGAGCGAAGCAGGAAGGAATTCCACCTGTCAGTGGCATTTTGGACTGGCAGAGACTTGAGCTTCTCTCAGCTGAAGATCTGAAAACATGGTTTATGATTTATTTCATTAAACTTTTCAAGCCCTCTTTGAAGTGGCCATTGTAGTTTTTCCCACTTTGTATATTGGGCAACCATGGTAAAATTAGGGATTGTTCATCTTGGGCAAGTCACTTAACTTCTCTAGGCTTTATTTTCTTCATCTGTAAATTAAGGGGGTTGGACTAGATGATCTCAGAGGTCCCTTCCAGCTCTAAAATCCTATGATCCTATAAGTCAGAGCCATAAAGAAAACCCCAGTTTTCTGACTTGCAGTCTCCCATAGCCAGGAGTAGAGGGAAACCCACATGTCCTAATTCCTATTTCTCAGCCTTAACAGCTAGCCCTTGCCTGCTGTAGAGGAGAAAAGTAGTAAAGATAAGTGAAAAGGTGAAAAATAATTAAATAAAATAGTTTTTGACAAAAAAAGCAAAATTCTGAAGAGCACTTTTGTTCTTTGTTGGAAAGGCATTCTTTACCCCTCTTTTCCACAAGGAGCACAGACCTGAGAAGTAAAGAGAGCCTGATGAAAATAATATCTGTGGCCTGGTGCTCATGGCTTAGGGAAGTGCAAGGCCCCTGTCAGAATGGAGCTATGGACCTAGCACAGGCCCTGCCTGCAGAGCTGACTAGGCTTCTGCTTAATGTTTCGTGCATTATTTATTTATTTGTTTGTTTGGTTTTTTCAGACCTCCAAAAGCACCCAGGGTCTGGCTGGTCTTCGAAACCTTGGGAACACGGTGAGTACTAAGCCTAAACTGCACATCTCTACCCAACCCAGCTGTTCCTCAAGACTCCCCCTCCTGTTCCTGGCAGAGCCATCCTAACTAGAGCCGCCCACTTAGCTGTAGGCAAGATAACCACCTGCTAAGCCAATTGGTACCTTCTTTACCTGGTTGGCATTTCCCAGAATTATATGATGTCTTGCCTCAATTCCCCAGAAAAAAGCCCTGCTGAAGGGGAGCTTCCCTTTTAACTGACAGTGTTAATACCCTTCCTGATCCTTGCCCTCAGGGGTATCCCTCCATTTTCTATTCCCTTATTCCCAATCTTGCCCACACCCTGTTGCACACCCCTGCAATAAATAACTCTTTACATCATCCTATGCTGACACAGGGAATTTACTACAGGTCAACAATCCTTTCACTTATGAAAAGAGGAACTTGAGGTTGTGGGAGGATTCATATCTGGGGTAAACCAAAGAGTTCCTGTATGCTAGGGAAGCTAGAACTCTAGATTGGGGCCACACATCTCTCCTACGGACTGAGCTGAGACTAGGGATAGGTAAGGTAGGCAGCCGCCTAGGACATAGCACATTGGTGGGCGTTGGGGGTGGGGGGTTGGAGTCCCAGTGAGGGGTGCATTTTAATACTGTTATTTATACATGTATATTTTAATGCCTAAATATTCCATTTTTCCCGGCACATTGATATTTTTATTCCTTGATAAATTAAAGCACAAATTCTGTGAATAGAAACACTTATGGGGCGGGGGTAGAGAATGCAATTCTCAAGCCTTGCTTATAGTGTACAGAAACCTTATCTCTCTGCTTTGCCCAGTAATGGCTCCTGTCATCTCTTTCAGTGCTTCATGAACTCAATCCTGCAGTGCCTGAGCAATACCCGGGAGCTGAGAGATTATTGCCTCCAGAGGCTCTACCTCCGTGACCTCAACAGCAGCAGCCATGCACATACAGCCCTTATGGAGGGTGAGGAATCTTTGGGCAGTTGTCCTGTTAACCCATGCTGTCTGGAAATCTATTTTCCCTTCTTTCCGTGACAGCTGCTTCAGCTGTTCTCTGGTCTCCCCTTTGGTCATGTTGTCTACCATTTTCCCTTTTTTTGGCATTTGTCTACTGTGGTTAGAGCCCCAGTTTCAGAGACCCTTAATGGACTGTTCTGTGTCCTGGCATTTTCAGACACCTTTTCTTCCCAATAGAATTCGCAAAACTGATCCAGACCATATGGACTTCGTCAGCTAATGATGTGGTGAGCCCATCAGAGTTCAAGACCCAGATCCAGAGATTTGCACCCCGATTCGTTGGCTATAAGTAAGGCTTCTGCAGAGAGATGTCTCTTCCCAGGGTGGGTGAAGGGGACAGTTGAGAACCTCTGGGAAAATGTGTATGACCTACTTGCCCTCTCCCCTCCCCCTTACTGTTTTCCCTTCTCTTTGTTCAGCCAACAGGATGCTCAGGAGTTCCTTCGTTTTCTTCTGGATGGACTCCACAATGAGGTGAACCGGGTCACGGTACGGCCCAAGTCCAACCCTGAGAACCTCGATCACCTTCCGTAAGTGAGAAAAGAGAATGGGCAGAAAGAAAAACTTAAAGGAAAAAATGGGTTCTCCCACCTTCCCCCACAAAAGCAAAAGACAATGAAATGACCAAGAGAACCAAAGTAGGATAGATTCTACATTAGATCTGAGTGCCATTTTGGGTCAGTGCTTCTATTACACTTGTAGCTTATCAGAATCTGGACCTTAACTCAGTTATTGTTTAATCTTTCTCTTTCTGGGTACCACAGAGATGAGGAGAAAGGGCGACAAATGTGGAGGAAATATCTGGAACGGGAAGACAGTCGGATTGGGGGTGAGTGCTAGAAATCATCGGTGAGGAATTTCAAGTTTTATTGTCACTTTGTACCTGAGCAATTGGGAAAAGAGGATGGAGATCCCCAAGGGAAGATCACTGTCCTTCCCAGGATTTAGCGCTTGGTAGCAGTACCATCAGGATACTGAAAAGAGAGCACATAATCTAATGTGTATTACTGCATGTCCTTATCCTCTTTGCTTATGTGTCTCACTTCCATCTTTTCCCCTCAGATCTCTTTGTTGGGCAGCTAAAGAGCTCCCTGACATGTACCGAGTGTGGTTATTGCTCTACCGTCTTCGACCCCTTCTGGGACCTCTCTCTACCCATTGCTAAGGTAATTCTGGCTGCTACCCCACTTCTAAAATTCCCCTTCCCATCCTTTCCTCTCCATGGCCTCTTACCTTAGCTCTGTATCCTCCTAGCGGGGCTATCCTGAGGTGACCTTGATGGACTGCATGAGGCTCTTCACCAAAGAGGATGTGCTTGATGGAGATGAGAAGCCAGTAAGTGATGCTTTCCAGTAGGCAAATAACAACTTTTTGTTAGCACCTTAGTTTACTTGGTGTTCAGCTGATCAAGCGCTAGGGTTCACTACCATTGAGTCCTATGATCTTCCCCACAACTCATCCGTTCTGTTCCTTATGTTTTTCAGACATGCTGTCGCTGCCGAGCCAGAAAAAGGTGTATAAAGAAATTCTCCATCCAGAAGTTCCCAAAGATCTTGGTGCTCCGTATCCTTAGGGCCTACCAAGATAGGCATCTTGATTTTGAGGGAGGGTGAAGTGTAATGAAATGGACTGATTGAATTGTGGGGAGGTGAGGGTAATACAGGAGTGGGACAATGAAATCCTCATTGTGTGAGGCAGATAGGTGGTGCAGTAGATGGAGCACTAAACCTTGAGTTAGGAAGACCTGAATTCAAATGTGGCCTCGGATGTTTACTAGTGTGACTCTGGGAAAGTCACTTACCTTCTCTCTGTGTTCTCATCTGTAAAATGGGAATTGTAATAGCATGTACCTCCCAGGGCTGTTGTGAGGATCAAAGGAGATGATAATTGTAAAGCACTTAGCATTATGCCTGGCACAATGAAAGTGCTATGTAAATGTTAGCTCTTGACTATTTTTCTGCTTTCTTAAAAACAAGAAAGCTCAGTTAGGATTCCTATATTCATTATTTGGACTTTGTGCTCATACAGCACTGAACATGGTGCCATTTACTTAGCAGACAATAAGTGACGAGCAAATACTACCCTCTCTGCTCTTAACTCAAACCAATTCCAGATCTAAAGCGATTCTCAGAATCCAGGATACGAACCAGCAAACTCACAACATTTGTGAACTTCCCACTGAGAGACCTGGACTTGAGAGAATTTGCCTCAGAGAACACCAGTGAGTGTCTTAACAGAATTTGGGTGGGGATGAAGGGGAGAAGGGGGAGGCATCACCACCTTTAGGATGAGAGTAAGAGGAATACTTAGAGCCAACTGAGAGCGGGATAGAGGATGGAAGGAGGGGTGGCCGAGACCCATAGGGGCTTGAAGCCTTGTGCCCCTTGCTGCTGTTTGACTCAGGACTTCCTCGTTTAGACCACGCTGTTTACAACCTGTATGCTGTGTCCAATCACTCTGGAACCACCATGGGTGGCCACTATACTGCCTATTGTCGGAGTCCAGTGACAGGAGAATGGCACACTTTTAATGACTCCAGGTGAGTGGTCTTGGGAACGGTGTGCCCCTCCCCCTCTCCTAGCAGGTATGGGTGGGCCAGGAAGGGCAGAGTTTCTGTATTACAGCAAGCAAAGACCTTGGGGTTGTTGAAAAATTCTAGTGGTAGCAAAGTAGTTGCCCCATATCAGTGCTAGTTTTCCAGAGATGTCCCTTGGCTAGCCCTTGACCATGATTTAGAAAAAACTTTTGACAAAATATAACACCCATTCCTATTAAAAACACTAGAGAGCATAGGAATAAATGGAGATTTCCTTTCTTCCGCAGCGTCACACCCATGTCCTCCAGCCAAGTGCGAAGCAGCGATGCCTATTTGCTCTTTTACGAACTGGCCAGTCCACCCTCCCGTATGTAGCGGCAGGGGTGTCACACCCCACCTCCCCGTCCCCGTGGCAGCCCCACATCCCAAGTTTTTTTAAAAAGACAAAAAAAAAGAAACTGCAAATGAAAGCGAAAGAGAGAGAGTAATAAACTAAAATAAAGCTGCCGAGCAGGAGTTTATACAGCCTGGTCAGGGGCCGGGAGAGAGGAGCTGGGTGTTCCCAAGGTTCGCCCAGACCTGGCTGGGAGAAAGCAGGATGCGGAGACTGGAGTCAGCAAGGCACTCCCTGGGCTTCTCGTGTTTTCTTTTTTTTTAAACGTGTGTTTTCCATGTGTGTAATAAATAACAGCAGTTGTGGGGAGAAGGCCCTCATCCATTTGCTGCTGTCTCCAGCTTCGAACTCCTCCTGAGACCTCGCCCTCAGGAGCCTGACCAGGAAGACTGCGTCTAGCCATGCTGGCTCTGCAGAGAGGAGACCCCATCCTGGACCGCCAGCCTGCTGAAGTCACACATGAGCCAGGAGGCCTCCTGATGCTGCTAACTCCAGAGGAACTGATTGTGGGATATTTTTTTGAAATAAGCAGTTTTTGTTTTTAAAAGCCCAATTTTCTTTTTTCTTTCTTTTTGTTTTTCCAACAACTACAAGCAGAGTTCTCAGACTGGAGGTGTTCTCCTGTATGCCTCTGCAGCTGGGAAGTTGTGTTGGTTTTATTTTTTAACTTGTCAAGCACAACTTTTTCTAATAATAGCCCCCAGTGGTGCTAGGCAGGCATGTCAGCAGGGCCCCAGGGCACAGCCATTATAGAACTGGCATCTAACAAGTTTCTTTCTTTTTTTTTTTTTTTTTTTTGGTTAAAGCTTTTTGGATGGATCCTAGTTGCCTCTGAGAATTGTGCCTTACAGCATTTGGGGACTAGGGGAATGCCCTTCCCAGATATATCCCTCTGCCTTGTTTTCCCTTCCCCCCAGTGTCATGCTCAAACTTGCTGGGGGAATAGGAGCTATGTCCTTATACCACTGACTTACTTCACAGTGCAGTGAGATGAAGAAGCAAGTAGGTGAGGAGAACATCTCTCATGACAAGGTGTCTGATTCTCCCTGCCCACTTCCTCCAATCAATCTATGGTTCCACTTCCTAGGCATTTAAAGGACAGTACAAACCATTTCCCTGGCACCTTTCCCAGTTTTTCTTTTAATTTATTCCCTTCCTCCCTTCCATTCCCTCCTTCCCTCAGAGCTTCTCAGACATAGGCCCCTTGGACTGAGTTTCTCAGGGACACCCATGCTGCCCCTTTGGCTCCTTTTAGCATTAGTCTTTGGTACCATCCTGAGAGCTACAGCCATGAGTGCTTTGGGACATGCTGCCTCAGCCCTTCTTAGTGTTTCTCCCCAACAAGGGTCTGGTTCTTCCCTTAGGTAGATGGACACAACTCCACTGGGTCTCTGGAAAGAAAGATTATCCAACCCCAAGGAACTCAGCTCCATGGGTCCTCCCCCACCAGCAGACCCAGGATCAACTTGTGCTCCTCAGATTGAGGCACTCCAGTGAATTAAGGGGAAGACTCCATAAGTTTATCTGGCCTGACCCCCTTCTCCAGGGGAGACCTGTAAACCTGAGCCAAGGGGCTAGTGTACACTTGCTTACTGTGTAAGCAAGAGTAAAAGAGAATGTCTAATGTACAGTGGAACCTTGTACAGAATAAATTTTAGCTTTGAAAAAAAAAGCCTTTCTTTGTGAGTCAACTGTGTCCAGACAGAGCACTTTACAATTTGATGCTTAAGAGTTTTTATTGCATAGTCTTGGTGATCTACCACACCCTGAGCAATGGCAGTGTCGTGTAAGGCAGGAAGCGCAACCCCGGGTATTAGGAATTCTGTCCCTAATGACATATATTGGGCAGCTGGATGGCACAGTGGATAGAGCACCGGGTCATAAGTCAGAAAGACTTCGTCATCATGAGTTCAGTTCTGACCTCGGACACTAGCTGTGTGACTCTGAGCAAGTCACTTAACACTCATCTGTAAAATGAGCCGGAAAAGGAAACAGCAAACCATTCCAGTATCTCTGCCAAGAAAAGTGCAAATGGGGTCACAAAAATTCACAAGTGACTGAAACAACCGAACACCAACAACAGTGATGTGTATTGATGTATGTTGGGCGATTGTTGAACATCGTAGAACCTCAGAACTAGAAAAGGCTTCTGGGTCATCTCGCCCAACCTCTTCATAGCAACTGATCATCCAGCTTCCACTTAAAAATCTTCAGGGATGAGGAATATGTTTCCTAGGGCAACCCATCCCATTGTTATCTCAAATTTTGAGGAAGGTCTTTCTCTGAAATCTTGCTTTCAGGGAGCTTCTCCTGCTTTGCCGTTTCTTCTCTGACAATATGCTGGGACCTCAGTTTCCTCACCTGAAATGTGGTGAGGTTTGATTAGATGCGTTCAGCCCTTCGGTTTCCAAAGTTCTATGAGTAAACCCTTTTTAATAAGTACCTGCATTTCCCCTTCTAAACAACCTACATGAAAGAACACCCACTGATTACAGCAGTAACTATTTAAACCAAGAGTCACATGTCTATAAGATTGCAAAATCTTCCTCATTACATAATTACACATACTTTTGTGTTAGGTTAAAGTAAAACCTTACCTCATGCAGTAAAGGCAATTTTTTTTTCAGTTTTACGTAATATTATCTTGACTGTTAAAAATAAGAGCCCTATTACTTTAGACTTGTATCCTTTGATTTTGAATATTTTTCCTCATGTTTGTCCAGCATTTGCTCTCTCAACCTTTAATTGCTGAAGTCACTGTAAATTTAGATTAGATTTAATCTCAAGATTTCCTCCACCTCTCTTAGCCATCCTTCCTTTAACATCATTTGTACAATACTATACCGATCCTGAAGCCATAAAGTAGTCTTTTGAGTGTGCCAAGTACTAAGATCCCATAAACTCGGATTTTATTAGGGAAATGGCATACCCTTATCTGGCCCTCTTTGCTCCCAATCCCCACCCCAACTGTGCTGTCTCATTCCCTTTCTTTATTAACCACCTCTGGGCAAGGCTGAGTGTAATGGATTAAAAAAAATGCTAAATAACCCTTGCCCTCACAGAATTTATGTTCTACTCAGGAATAGGGGGCGGGTTAGAATATGGGTGCTTGAGTATGTCCAAGTTCATTTGAAGAGGAAGAGAACACTAATAACTGGAGGGATGAGAAGACTTCATTTAGGAGAAGGGCACCTAGGCTGCTTCTGGAAGGAAGCTAGGGATTCTAAGAGGTGAGATGAAGGGGAATGTGTTCTAGGAATTGGGGGGGGGGGAAACCTGTGAGAAAGAATACAGATGGGAGATGGAAAATCAGGTTCAGGGAGTACTATGGTCATTTGGTTCCAGCAAAGTACATGAAAGAATGATACAAAATATCTAAGATGGTGTAAAGGAAGGGACTAATACAAAAGATGTGACCAGACCAGACAATTAACTGGTTATGGAAGGTAATGAAGAGGGAAGAGTAAAGATACCTTCAACACTGTGAAAACAAGGAACTGCTGGAACAGTGGTCTCAAGAGAAATAGGGAAGTTTGGAGAAGGGGTTTAGGGATGATGTTATAAGTTCTGTCGAATACAGGGAGTTTTGAGTTGCCTGCATCTATGTGTAGATAGCCAGTGGACAGCTGGAAATAAGAGACTGGAATACAGGAGAGAGGTGAGCTAGGTATGTAGATCTGAGAGTCATCCATGTAGAGATGATCATTGAATCCTTGGGCATCTATGAGACCACCAAAAAAGTAAGTATAGACAGAAAAGAGGACCCATGGCCTTGGGGAATATTCTTATGGGAAAGAAGCAAAGGTCAAGCCAACACCCACCCCATCCCATGAACAACAACAGGGCTTTTTCTCAGGAAAAAAGCAATCACGACCTTGAACCCCTAGGAACTTTCCCTAGTGTCCTGACATCCTGAGGCCATCTCAGCAGACAGGCTAAATGAGATCAAGAGTAATCGACTGACCTTAGACCCATCAGTGAGTCAGGGGGTGTCTACCCCAAACATGTGACGACTTCCCCCAGCAGAATGGGTAGAGATGAACAATTTGTTCCAACGAACCATGAAGGCAGTGGAAGGCAAGGGCTGTGGAGCACTTAGAACTTAATCAGACATCAAAGACGCCGAGGTCATCCCCTGCATCCCAACCATTGCCAGTTGTTTTGACTTTTGTATTGCCAGTGGTGTTCAATGACTCTGAAAGAGAGAGTGGGGCTGATGACTTCATGCAATTCTGCCTCACTTAAATACAATTTGTGCATGAATTCAGTGCACAAATGTATGAAGTCAAATGACATCACCCATACCATTTTACCATTTTTATCTACCTCAAAGTCCTGTGGCAGCAGGCAAGTGATAAAGCAGCAGGTGCAAATACACTGGGAACTACAGTCACAACCCTGCATATAGGTGGCCCAGACCATAGGGTAATTTTCTCACTGGACTGAAGCAGCAATGAGATTTGGCAGCCCCCTAGATGTCTGAGCAGCCCTTTGTAAGGACCACATTGCATACCTCCTAACATGAGAAAGGGGCTAGAAAAGGTGCCCTAAAAATTGTCTGCTTCACCTAACATAACCCTGGTCTGCTTATTGAAGACGGCGGGGATTCCACCCTATGGTGGAAACACAAAAAAAGTACAAAAACTTTTGCAAAGATGATTCTACTCACCTTTGGTACATGGAATGTGTTCACATTTATGGGCAACAAGAAATCTAGTAGACCTGAAAGGTGAACAGTTCTTGTTGCAAGAAAACTCAGCAGGTATCCCATCTAAATAAAACAAAGCTGGCAAATGAAGGCTAGCTTACTGGAGTCAGAGCTGGAGTCAGAGTGATTATAGTGATGGAGAGAACTGTAGAGCTGGTATAGGTTTCACAATCAAAACTAATCTAGTCAACAAGCCTGTATGCCTCCCAAAAGGAGTGAACTTATGACAATGTGATTACCACTTGCAGGAAAGTGCCATGCCACCATAATCAGTGCATATGCTCCCACCATGATGAACTCTAATGAGGTCAAAGAAAAATTTTATGAAGACCTTGAGATCCTCATCCTTAATGTGCCAAAAGAAGACAAGCTTGTAATTCTGGGTGACTTTAACACCAGAGTAGTAACAGACTATCAGACACGGCAGAGAGTCCTTGGGAGGAATGGAGTTGGAAAACAGCAACAGCAATGGTCACTTACCACTGAAGATTTGTGCATCTCATGACCTCATCACCAATATCATCCTTCTGTTTACCTAAACTTCAATTAAATAAACTTCAGCTCAGCAATAAAACCTCATGGTGCACCTTCATAGCAAACATTGGTATTTAGTAGACTATGTCATTGTAAGGAGATGAGACAGACAGGGTGTGAGAGTCACAAAGGCAATGTGTGGCCCAGAGTGCTGGACTGATCATGGACATATCTTTTCCAAGCTAAATATTCGCATTCAACAAAAGCTGCAGGCCCCAAGGCAAGCCAATTGCCAGAAGACTTAATGTCAACAAATTAGAGCACTTCTATGAGCCAGTTGGCAACAGTGAAGCAAAAAAGGAGTGGGGAGCTTTCAGAGATTTGGTGTACAGCACCACATTTACTTATCTGGGCCAGAACACTCACAAACATCAAGAATAATTTGATGAAAATGATGGGGAAATTCAGGAGCTGCTAAATGAAAAAACAAGAACTCTACAAGGTTTATCGGCAGGATAGTTCATCCTTCTCTAAGAAGGCAGTATTTAATTCCATCAAAAGTAAAGCACTTAGATTCAATTCACTTGCAAGTCAGGACATCGCCCTCCTAATGTCACTGGTCTCTTCAAGACGGAAGGATAAACAACAAACAATTTGTTTGCATATTGTCTTCCCCATTAGACTGTGAGCTGTTTGAGAGCAAATGCT